CCTGTAGTTCTTTATTGCAGCGTTTGTAGGCCATTCACACAGGGAAAGATGAAGTATGATTTGATGATTTAGTATGTTCAATACTGTCAGCTTTTCCTAGCACAGAATCCTTATTGTAAATGCATTTCTTGTCCTGAGAAGTTACTTTACTAAGCAGTTGCCACTGGAGAGTTTGGTACATCAACTTGCTGCCAGGTTTTACATTTGACCTGATATCACAAATCCTTATGGAGCAACATCCCAGATAGGTTCTGCATATGATTTTTATTTATTTATTTGTCTTCTGATTTCACACCTCTTTCAAGGGATAGGTTTTAGCCTCTGACAGTAAGCTGGAGGGTGAATGATCTCCGGGCAACTGAATGCAGAGAAAGAAAATAAGTAAACATGCACCGAGGGCAGTGCACTGGCATCTTGCAATTTAGCAAAATTAAATGCCTACCCACTGTGCCCTGACAGTAAAATCTGGCAAGAGCAGTGTTATGAAGCTGGACATCCCCCCAGGCTGAGTTTGCAGAGAGAATTAGTGAGAAAGCCCGCGACCAGCAGCATGCCCACTTTATCAGGCAGTTAAGACAACAACTCATTGCAAATGAGTAGAAATGAATGGAGTGAAAAACGCCTGCCAGTCCCTGTCCTAGGGATGCATGCACTGCAGTTTTTCTCAGCTGATGCTTTCCTGGAGCAGGTTATACTTGTTGCGGACTGAAGAGGGTTTCTGGATAAAATGGAGTAACTTAGGTGGAAATAATATGGGACCATGCAGAGACATATATTTGACAGCATTTCTTCCACTTTATTTAGCACAGTCCTCTTTCACAGTGGTTCCGTCCTCAGTGTATTACAAACTCACACTGTTTCCTATCACACTGGACCTTTAAGAGGATGCACATGCAGACACTCACTGTGGTGCATGCAGACTTCTCAAGTTGCTTCTCCTTCCCCCTCTTCTGACAGACAGTCTGGCTAAATTTACAGACGATGGGGACAAAGAGTTACTTTTTTTTTTCCTCCAGGGACGGTGCTGTACAGTCGTTGCATCTCCACTGGCCTCCGCATTTGGGTGCTTCTCTGGCAGGGATGCATTCTCCCTGACAGACTTGGAAATCACAGCTTTGGCCCCAGAAGTGAGGGCACAGAGGTAGAGGACCTAGCGTGTATGTGAGTTTAGAAGAAAAGTGTTGTTTAGAAGCTGTCAAGAATATTAAAGGAAACAAAATACAAATAGGCTTAGATGTAATTTGGGGCGAGATTGCATGGTGAATTTTAGTAGTCAACAAAGAATGACCTTGCTGGGCTGTGAGCTGCTATTTAGGTGCATCTGTCATTAAGCAAATTGTCCTGGTGCCGAATGCTGCCTTGTGCCTGTTTCCTCGGTGGAGAGTGGCATGCCACACATTTCTACCATTTCTTCACAAAAATTATGCTACTGCCCTATCTGTCTGTTAGGTCTTGCTCTCTCCTTTTGCTAAACTGAGGGGAAAACACATGGCAAACAACAGGGAAAAAAATCATCAAGAGGGATGAGTGGGGTTGAATCACAGCAAGAAGTTTAAGAAAAGGTTAGAGATGACATTAATGAACATGGTGTGTAGTCTGAATAATCTTGTAGACTTCAGGGAACCAGACCAGATAATCCCAGCTGCCCTTTCTGCCTCTGCTATCTTCCAGTCACTATCTACCATCAATAGATACGCAAAGAATTTGTATGGAAATTCGACCCAGATCTCAAAGGGTCTCAGTTTGACCCAGAGAGGCTGGGATGGAGCCCGTTAAAGCGAATTACTCCTAAGCATGTATTGGATCTTAGTCTTGACTTTGAGCTTGTGCTTCGCTTTTAATTGCCAAAATGATCTTTGGTTTGTTGTATTTTTCAGGCTGCATGTTGATAAATAAGCCTAATTCTCAGTGGATTTGACATGTTGTAAATTAAGACGAGTACCTTGGAAACCACTTAAATGAGATTTACAGGAGGAGTTATTTTTTGTAGCTGCAAATTAGAAATAAATATAAAAGTGAAGCATATTAAAACCATACCAATGAAATCGTACAGCATAACTAAATTTCATTCTAAGATAATTCCACAACATCATAAACTTATGTCATTGTCAATAACCATTTATAATAGAAGCATCAAAAATATTTAGTTATGGTGAAATACAGCTCTCCTAGGCACTTACTCATTTCCTGATTTACTTAGTAGAAATGTGCCTCCTTGTAATGTTTGTTGATTCTTGGTTCAGCCTCTAAGCAATTGATTGAATGGTGGTGGGAGTAGTGATCTGTCTTTGATATTGTCTAAGTGCTGTTTCACCCATCCCATAAGCAAGAAAATAGTTTAACATCCGGCTTAATGTAGCTGGTTAAACCAAACTCACACCTTAATCTTTACGCCTGCATTTTGGTACCTGTTATTAAAGTAGCCTTTTGGGCCAGGTATTTTCCTAAATGAATTTTATTCTGGAACTTTGCTCTCTATTCCGTAAGTTTATTTGAAGAAAGGGTTTTTGAGAAATTCAGATTAAAATACATGCAAATGCATGTAAACCAGGCCTTTTATATAAATGCACTCCCTTTTATGAGAACAGTAGTTTGTGAATGGTTCAATAATTAAGGTAGTTTGCATTTTAAAGACTTCAGTTTTTAATTGGTTGAATATTAAGCACAGATCATGTAAAGATCTGTTGTGATATGCAAATTATGATGTCTGAGCCGCATTTGTTTTCAGGTATCAGTCTATCCGCATAATGCAAAATAACATTCTGCAATTATTTCAATTAGGTGCAGTCAGCCTTCGGAGCAAGCTATTTATTTCATTTCTGTAAATGAAGAAAGCAGTTGCAGCTTTCCCTTGCCCGATGTTTACTGCCCAGAACTAGCGCTCACGACTGGTATGTGTGCAATACATAAAGAGCTTTCTAACTGAATCCCATTAGCGCACACAGTAGAGGACAAGCAGTTGAACTCCCTTGCAGGATTTCATTTGCCTAACTGACCCTTCCGCCTTGGGAAGAGATGTCACCTTGTTTGGGGGTGTTCATTATCATTCCAAATTGCATTATGGAATGTCGTTGGAGTTCTTAATTAGCAGAAGCTGTTTTGCACAAGTGCGGAACATTGGAGGGGTTTTTCTCCTCAGGCTGCAGCTGTTCCCTCGGCAGAGGAGGAATTTCACCTAAGCAAGGAGCGGGGGATGCACGAACAGCCGTGGTGTCTCCAGAGCGGCTCGGCTGGGTCTCCTCGCAGCCATTCGGTTCCGCACACGCAAGTGGCACCAAATGCAGCAAATGTTCCCCCCGCGCTGCCCCCTCACCTTCCACCTCTACTTTCTTGTTTTTCCCTTCCCTCCCCCGCTTTTCCACGCGGCGCTGCTCGGCGGCGGGAGCCCGCGCGGTGGCACCGGCGCCGTCCCGCGCGCGCCCCGCACTTGTGGCTGCGCGGCCCGAGGCA